GAAAGTTCTTTCCGTTTTTTCAACCTATCATAAAAACACATGAAAGAAGGTAGGGGTACGCTTCAGGCACTGTCCGACGCAGCTTTTCTTCCTCTTTTCAACTGTCATAATCCTGCGTCGCTTGCTGTTGTGGTCAGTGAGATAATGGCGGAAATTTCGAACCCATGGTTTTCACCAAGTCCAACTTTGGCAATTTCTCACAATCTTCTTTTTTGACTTTTAGAGAAGCTTTGAAGGCAGTCAGATAGATTAAGCAAAGTGCAATTTAATGAAATTTTTCGGCGTCTGTAACTAGCCTTAAAAATTTTTTAGATTTATTTTTCTGATGCTATCAAATTCCACTTTTGGTGATGCCAAGAACCATAGAACATAAAACGGCGCACAACTAAGGTGTCGTTCGATGCAGCTTTTCCTCCTCTTTCTATTGAGTATTTTTCTTCATGATTTGTGGGGGGTTTTGGCGATAAAATTTCCATAATTCTTGATTTTGAACTCGCCCGAGGGTGTGCACGTAAAATGCAAAATCTTATATTTCGAAGCGGTAAACACTCAATTACTTTGTAAAAATAGTGGACAATCATAAACGACTTTTGATAGTGTCAAAATCCGAAGACTTGCTAATGTTCGGAGCGTTTGTGTATTTTGTGACTTCGAAAAAGTGAATACCTCTGGAAAAGTTGTCTCAAAAAATACTGAGAAGCCAGTTGAAATTGCCAAAAAATTCCATTAAATTGCACTTTGCTTAATCTATCTGACTGCCTTCAAAGCTTCTCTAAAAGTCAAAAAAGAAGATTGTGAAAAATTGCCAAAATTGGACTTGGTGAAAACCATGGGTTCGAAATTTCCGCCATTATCTCACTGACCAGAGCAAGCGGCAACGTTTGAAAAGAGGAAAAAAACTGCGTCGGACAGTGCCGGAAGCGTATCCCTACCTTCATTCCACGTGTTTTTATGATAGGTTGAAAAAACGGAAAGAACTTTCGGAACGACCTAATATATTAAGTTGATGCATAATTCCTGCACCAAAATAGGTACAGACCGCAATAACTCGGAGTAATCCTATGTCCCAAGTAGGATTCGATATATCATTTGATAGCGCAAACCTAGCTCTACAAGATAGTGCTCAAATATCTACACCAGCTTTGATCCACGCGAAGTTTTGAGCAACAAACTGAAAAAAACCATGCTTCCGAAAACCTTAAGACAGATCTTAAAAAAATTGTAACATCGTTCGAAAAGCTCATACAAATTTTCTTTCTTGTTCACGCGTAGACGTTCCACGTAAGACATTTATCTATGCGGTTGCTGTATTTTTTTCTCAACTAGGCGATGAAAAAACGAAGTTTTTTGAAGTTTTTCATGTTTTTGCCAAATTAGCGCTGAGATGTTCTAGTATTAACAGTTGTATAGTACATGCCGTTAGCAGTGAAACTTTACATTTTCAGCCTTTTAGAACTGCTAGTTCATGAGAAATAACGAATCTAGCTCTCCTTATCCAAATTTTTCTTGCTTAGTTGCTAAAAATCCGATATTTCTCGTAAACTAGCTGCTCTAAAGAGCTGAAAATTCACATTCACGCTTCTAAGGTCCCATAGTATACAACTGTCAGTGCTAGAACATCTCAGCATTGTTTTGGAAAAAACATGAAAAACTTCGTTTTCTCATCGTCTAGTTGAGAAAAACATACAGCAACCGCATAGATAAATGTCTTACGTGGAACGTCTACGCGTGAACAAGAAAGAAAATTTGTATGAGCTTTTTGAACGAAGTCACAATTTTTTAAAGATCTGTCTTTAGGTTTTCGGACGCATGGTTTTTTTTCAGTTTTTGGCTCAAAACTTCGCGTGGATCAAAGCTGGTGTAGATATTTGAGCAAAATCTTGTAGAGCTAGGTTTGCGCTATCAAATGGTATATCGAATCCTACTTGGGATATGGGATTATTCCGAGTTATTGCGGTCTGTACCTATTTTGGTGCAGGAATTATGCATCAACCTAATACATATATGTGACTTCAAGTGAGTAGCTACTGAATTGAAGATGCGGCTTCGAAGAGAAAGAGCAGGATTTATTATTACGCTTCTACAAGCTACACAGAGCCCATCCAAAACCCTCGGTAAGGTCCATGAATAAGTCCCGGCAGTTTTCATCTTGCGAAGTCTTTGCAGAACCTCGCGAGGGCTTCACAGGAACTTCCCCAGGTGACCTAAGGAAATTCCCCCAATGCCTTCGGAAGGTTCCTATGAATTGTCTAAGGCTTGTGCAGCGGGTCCCGTGGCCGCCTCGCCTGGGCTCTTTACCTCTTCACGAGCGTGCTCTTCAATCATTTTTTCACGGTTAAATAGCGACTAAAGCTCGGCCTTTTGCTAAGGTGTTTCAAAATGATCAGGGAGCATCCTCCTAAAAAAGCTGCAGAGCCGCGAGGCGGTCGTGCGGGACCTGAGCCGCACAGCCAGATCACTTCTGATCATATAGAAAGTAATGCATCAATGATGCTCTGAGTCAATGCTTACCGGACTTGATCTGCAGACTAGTGCGGTATACGTAAAAATAGAGAGCGAATTGGTGTACGATATCTTCCGCGATGTTTACTTCAAAGGCGAAAGCCGAGAATCGAAAGTAAGAGATGCGCACCCGAAACAATTAGCACCCAGATTGTCTCGTCGTCGATGCAAGGTGATAGGGATGCGATACCATATTTAGAGCATTGATACTGCAGCGGCTGTTTGAAGGAGGTCTATTACAGAGCAGATGCTAGCAAACCTTGCGCACGCTTTTGATAATTGAGACAGTACGATAATCTCAAAGCTTTCATGTGAGATTGAAAATCGGTATGTTCGCTTTCGTCTTGTCTTTTATTGATAACAAGCCGTCTAAACCAATGCTCACGTTAGACTACTTTGAACTTTTGCTTTGCTGTGTCGGAAAATGTCAGAAAGGCAAGGCACATGAAGCAAACCTAGTTTGTCAAGCATTAAGTGGCTTTGAATTAGCGAAGGCTCTAAAAAACACCTGTGCGAATCTGTAGTGCTTTTGTTTCTTCCTTGCAACAATACACTTGATACAAAATTGATTACTAACTTTTAGTTGTTTCTGGGCAGCTGTTAGCTAATTTTAAGCCTCTCAATGCTTGGAAAAGGTGGGCAATTAAACGCTTATAACTTCTTTCGGGGAATGTTCCGCAAAAAAGGGAGCAGATTTGAAATCGGCGTTCAAGACGCGTTTAGTGATATGTATCTCGGCTTCAATCGTCCTATGTTGTCATCCGCTCCTTGTAAGTTGATTGGAATTGCAACATTAGGAGGCGCTTGACTGAATGAGCTTTGACGCTTCGAAGAAAAGATTTGATTATTCACAACTAGAAAGTAAAAAAGTTCGGTGCTTTTCCGTTAACTGAACACGTTGTTCTCTTAACATGGATACTACTTCTCCCCTTACACAATATTTGGCTCCAAGTTCATAGGAAGGGAGCAGTGCCAGCCTCCTTCCATGTGCCACTGACATGTCATCTACATGATCAGAAGCATTGTCCATCAAGTTGAGGGTGGTAGGGTTTTATTTACGACAGCAGGGCCCTGATTAGCTGATTGCTTAAGTCCCGCCACTAAAGATGAATCTCAGGGGGAAAAATGAAGTCACTTGCGAATGCGTCTGTCCCTCCCACCTGGGTGGTCCAAAAATGCTAGGCCGGGCATTAATGTAGGTAGCAAGACATGTCGAAAATCTTTCTTTCACCATAAAGGTGAGTTTGACATTTTTAGCTCTTTAAACGAAATTTAGCACGCATCATTTTCGATATTCGCGTTGATAAATGGGACGGACATGTCCGCAGGCATTTTCGCGGCATTTTTCTCGAGGCTTCAAGATTCATTTTTTGCAGCTGAACTTGAGTATTGTCAGAGGCCGCGTTCTTATAGACCATTAGAATCTCACCAAGCTCAGTCTGGGTGGACGTTACCTTCAATAGATTTCAATAAGAGTTTGTTTTGCCTACTCACCAACGGAAATTCAATCTATTTTCCACTTTATATGAAATTTTTTTTATTCACAGATGTTAAAAGTCCACACCCATTAGAATAATGTCATCAAACTTTTGATGAACGTATTAGGTGTGCCCACAACAGAGAAACACGTTAGGGGTCCATCATCAAAGCGTCAAAACAAGCGGCAGGAAGCTAAGAGCCATCAGTATATTCTGCCCTGGCTGGATTCGCATGTTGGAAACAGCTTCAGGAGAAAGATATCATTAATTGGTGGAAGCGATCCAAATTCTAATAGAAGTTGGAACCGCTTTTTTTCATTTATAAAATTTATGAAATTTCCTAAGAGTAAGATAAAATCTCAAAAATTCTATGTGGAAGTGAGTTGGGACAATAAACAGAGGTATTCGCAGAAGCACAGATGCAAGAGAATTCGAAGTGATGGAGTTTATCCTCTACTCACTCCTAAACATTCCACGATACCTGCAAGATTGCAGCAGAAATTTAGAGTATGCGGTTATAAAATTGAGCGAAAAATAAATGACAGATTGAAAATCGACAATTTTTCGGCTAACAGTCGAAATTGCTTTCGACAAGAATAAAGCTAAAAAAGAATGGCATAGAATGCAAATCATCCACCCATGTTTACTGTAGCTTGATACTGGCGTCAAATCAGTGCGCGGGTAAAATTTCCACAAGACATATAAAGTCAAATAGATCTGATAGCACCCGCGGTACCGAGATTGCGCGATGTAATTTGCGCGTGAACAGATAGCAATTTCAAAATGCCGGCACTTGCTCGCAAAAATTACCGGCATTTCAGGTGTAGCTATGTTGCATGCATAAATTACCGGCGTATCTCGCTACAATGACACTATACTTACCGTCAATCTAGGCGTTTGTAGCTACAATGGTAGTGATCACGCGATCAGACTTGTATATTCGGAAATTTAAATATTGGTCAAGAAAAAACAAAATCGTCAAATCCCTGATGGGCCAATACTTATATATCTGTTATTTGTCTAAAAATCGAACGAAAGCAATTTGAAATTGTTCACGAAAGCATGAGAAGTTCCTTCATCGGCATCAGCCATGATATTCCAAAGGAGCTCAGCGTTACTGAGATTACTAGGAATCGTACATGATTTGTCAAAGCAGAAGGTAGCTAAAACGGTCAGGAATGAAGATAAGAGCTGAAACAAGATAAAATTGAGCTATGAACACCTGTGAAAGTGCGCAAATGGATAGTTTACGAACACATGGGTAAGGACGGTTCACGTCATTTAGCATCCAAGGACATTGCATGATAGGCTTATACAGAGGCTTTAGCACTTCATAATCCACAAATGTAGTTCCTATACGGCTGACGGATGGTTCGTATAAGATTTTCAAAGCACTTTCCGCTCGCGATTGGCGCTATTGGTTCCCGGTCGACTGGATATCCGCTGCTGCGAAGTTTTTTGACGCTATCGTTTTCCTTATCATTGCCATTTCGATTTCATCTTAGAAAAACTCCAGCAAGGATTTTATTGATAACTCATTGATTTCCAAAATTCGCTCGAATAAACCCTCTCAAATCCTTCCAGAACGGAAATTGCAGCATTATACAATAGTGTTTATAATGATACTTTACAGAAACACGCACGTTGTAAATCAAGTGCAACATATATTTCCAGCTCTACAAGAATATCCAGAAGCGCACAATCCATTGAAACAGGATCCATATGGAGCTTCACCTAAAAAGATTAACCTTTCTTCTTTGCTATAGGACAAGAAAGGAGATGTGAACGGCAATGAAGTTCCGCTCTTTCCGAGAGACAACCTCAAATCCTTTCTCAATTTTGAATATTTGAATTTTTTCTGAATTTAGAAACTACTTAGTAGGAAAAGGCTAGAATATAGAAAAATTCAGTTTTCTCAATCACTATACCTCCGCTGTGACTGTGGGGGTATTAATAAACAGACCTCTAGGACACGAAGGGCAGCAGTAACCGTTGGCTGAGCATATGAAACCCGGGCTGCATCCCTGGAAAGCAGAAGTCGCATGACGAGATTTATCAATTCTGATATTTTTGATGTTTTTCCTGGCTGAATGTGAGATCTAGACTACTTGCGTGATTACTGTTTATAGATGACAGGCTAGTTATCTTTTCACAAATTTTACACGAATTCTTGCTGAGCTAGCATTACATCACGAAGGAATTCTTCACACTCAAAAATGCTTTCCTTTCTTGCAGAAGTCGATGCATATAGTTTATACAGACTAGCTAATATTTTTTTGAAAAAATAAGCATGGTTTTGTCAGCAGTTTCCCTCAATCCTGCCCTTCCTAATATTATACTCATCCCCACTATCTACTAGGGATCTATTAGTACTCTGCGTTGATACCACTGCTTTAGTTGCACCAAAGATTTTGTAAAAGTGTTCAATTCCTTATAAACTCGTTTCTGTCTGCGTGACACTCTTTCCTTGTATACAATCACCGCTGTGTTATAACTATTTACAATGAGGGTTCTATTTTCAACAAGTATTCGAGGAAAAAGAATTTACAACTTTTCGCAGAGATCGCGACTAACCTGATTATTATATTCTAACTGAAAAGTTTGGGTGATAAAACCAACATCAGAAGTATAACAGAAATCTCTTGAGAACTTTAGCAAGTTCAACAACCGAAATTCAAAAAATACTGTTTGAGTGTTTGCATTTATCATGATCAATCTAAGACAGAACAATAGTTATTGTTTCCATCATCAAAACAAAGGTAGTACAATTATGCTTTCCTCCCTTTGAATCATATCAGATGTATTCATCACACCTGAAGGAGAAATTAGGGCTTCTAAAATTTTGATACGAGATTTATCCTTTGAGCAGTGCATACTCATAAATATGGTCTGAAAAATCCTAAGTTCTCTAAATTGTGAGATGATGGCTTTCCTTGCCGAGGAAGAGCGGGATGAAAAATTTCGAAACATCGGCTATCTAAGGAGTGCACTTCTGAGTGCACCTGCAGTGCAAGAGTGCACTTGCACCTGAGAATTTCTTAGGAAAGAAGAAAGTAAGTAGCTATGTAGTTTTACTTTTTTCGAGAGCGTCGTTCAAAGTTAAACATGGCCCAAAGTTTCCAGCTTATAACGTTCACTTTCTTTCAACCTAAACTAGACAGATAAAGAGCATTGCGCTTGTCAGACCTTTGAGCTTATTCTAACAGGGTTGAAGACTTTGAGCGTTGTAACTGTGGAATATTGCTTCGAATGAGCTTTTGCAACTTAATTCCGAGAATGCAAATCCATATCACTTTCCAGGGAAACTCACTTGTGAGCACAATCCACTAGTTCGCCCAAACTCGCACTCGCAACAATAGTTAGACGTTGTGCACACGAATTCACCGCAGCTTCCGTTAGTGCAGCTGGCCAGCGCACCCTGCCCTGCACACGCATCTGTAAGGTCATTTATGAACTATACATAGCTAGGGATTTAGCTTTCTCACTCTGCCACTCGTTGCCTGTGGTTCTACAACAGAGCCCGTTGATGCAGGTTTGTCCTCCCGAGCAAACAGAACTTGAAAGACATCTCATCTGAGATCGTTCGCCATTATAGCAGTAGCCTGGAATGAGAGTAAAAATCATCTTTCTGAGTAGGCGCGAATAGGGAAAGTGGGGTCAAATTTTTGAATGCTTCAAGCTCAGTTAAGCGAATCTTTTTCAGTTTTCAGATGAACTGCGGAGAAGTGATGAGTAAATCTCCTGTGAATGGAGCCCAACCCTCTTTTTGGTTACCAACGTGCTATGTTGACCAATTCCAGTTGCCCATTTCTCAGCTAGATCTTGTTTACAGTGGTATACCAACGCAAATTTTTCATCAAATTTCGCAAAACATGGAAGCTCGAAAGCTCTTTTACAAGTTCTAGTACGGCTTAATACAAAGAAGTCTGAACACAGATTTTCTTTGGTTGCAGACACCAAAGCATGTAGCTTCGGAATTATAGCACCATTATTCCAGTCAGTATTTGAGTGTCAACGAATTCAAAATTTAACTGTCAAACAAGGCATATACGTGCAATACACTCGTAATCTTATATATAAAGCTGAATGTCTGTTTGTGTGTCTGTACGTATGTTCCGAATAGAAAATTCCATTTCTCAACCGATCCGGACCAAACTTGGCAAAGATACACTCCGGGGCGGGTGTCATAGGCTACTTTTCATTATCGATCGATATCGATTTTATCGATTTTTTGCAAAATTTGAGCTACGGGGCTGGGAGTTGGCACAGGTGTAATCGAGCATGCTGATTACAAATATGTTATTGACAGGGCTGGGCGGAGCCGGGTTTGCCAACTAGTATAAATTAAGCAGATTGAACGGGTGACATTTTCCTAAAAAATAGCTGTGCATTTTAGCGAGTTGCGCGTGAGGATGCTTATTTTTATGCGCAGATGCTGTTCAGCAACGCAAGAATATTGCTAATCGCCGAATTTACTGGGCTATGCACGCTTAAATGAAATGAGCTCAAAATATGGGCAAAGTGAACCAAGTTTTTGTACGGATTTAGTTGAGTAGTACCCATTAATCACTTTCATGAAGACAGCGCTACGTACGTTTAGAGCTTACCGTATGTGCTCACATCTATGGGTTGAACGGTTGTCGGCCAAGGAATCGGTATTATAGGTGGTACTATAGGCGGTATAATAGGTGGTCCAGGTCTTGTACAACAGCAGCCACAAATACAAACAGTGGGCTCTGTGGAAAATGGTGTGCACTGGAATGAGTTGAAAGCACCAGAACTGATGCATTGCTCAGGAGTATCATACGATTCCAACAAAGAACATAAGTCTTGCACCTACTTGATAATCATATGTGCATCCTATGTTGAGTTTGCGGCCACCGTTGGTACAACACTGCACAGGAGCGGGTCGGTAAGGTTGGTAATTGTTGCAGGCTAAAACATAAAATTTGGCACTTCTCTGCAAAATCCTTGCACTATCACAACAATCATGGAAACAAGCTTAATTTCGAGAATCATCGTAAAACACCTCACATCTACGGTATGTCTACAGTATCCCAACAACTAATGAAATGGCTTATACCAGAAGATTCCCAGCGACAAGTTAAATGGTCATTTATTTGATGTGAAAACACTTACGATAAGGTGAATAGTATCTGTTTGGAACCATGCCACATATGTAATATGTAGTTTGTCTTCTCACGCGGACTAGCTGATGTTGTTCTTCCATAACCACTGCGGATATGAGTAAAGCCAGAACGGTGAACATTTCCGTGGGGTAAAGCGTTTTGCGGCGGATCGCAGAAATCCATGTTGATTCATCTGCTAGTCCTGGAACGCGAAGCTTCAAACACTGCAGCGGTATGGCTCATAGTGGTCAGCGTCTATTTTATGTCGCGACCAGCTGGAATAGCATAGCCATCATCAACAGTGCGGGTTGAAAAAAATTTGGCACTGTCAAATCCTGTGTAAATTTTTTTCAAATAGTTTCGAGGTTCAAAAATGTGCATTAGCTCAGTCCAGCATTACGTAACTTACGGTGCCTCTTGCATACATTCACACCGCCTCTTAGGGTTGGGCCAGCTGCGCGGCGTACGCGGCGGAGGCGACATACGCAGCGTACGCACATGTGCGTAAGAATATGGGGCGTACGCTGCGTACGGTACATCGCGCAGTCTGGCTCAACCCTAAGGTCTTGCCGAGATTTCGGTTTCATATGTTAGTGTCATGCATTTTCTAGGGTGGTCTAGTTGGGGCAGAAATGCTAGTACATATCAAAACCCTGATCGAGGTTTGAAATGGCCACTGCTTCAAACTTTGAGGAGCACGCCGAATCAAAACAAGCGATGCTTGACACTTTGACGACCATGCGGATTTTTGGTTGTCTGCCTTCTGGGACCAAGGCGTTTACAGATCAGCCCACATTTTTCAACTATAATTACGCCTATTGCCATCTACAGTACACCTACAGTTAATCAAAAAAGGGTGACAAAAAGGTAGACGTCATCTTTAAATTGTGCAAAAGGAAGCTCTTGGAGTGAGTTTATCCCAAAATAGTTGTCATTTTAACAAAATTCAAGCCTTGACAAACTGGTGTGTCAAGCGGTCCCACACGGTAGTCATTGCTTGACCACACCATGTGCGTCAAGCGGTCGTCAATGTGTTAAATATTAGGACGGTCTAAAAGTTCGCACTGTTTTTCAGACCCATGCTCAAAACATTTTGAATGAAGATAGACAAACGCTGTAAGCACTGTCCGATGCAGAATTTCTTCCTCTTTCCAAAGGTATGTTCTAGTTTAGATTCCTTTAATGTCCGCCCTATAATCGGCAGGATCTCCAACCCATGATTGCCCATCTTCAGTTTGCCTATTTTTTAAATTATTTCCATTTTTAACTTTTGGACTAGATTTGCTAACATAATAGGATAAACAAAATACAGTACAATACATCAATTTGGTTGGCATCTCTTGCTGGCTTCTCGAAATTTTTAAAAATATTTTTCTGATGCTATCAAATTTCATCTTTGGGTATCTCAATCCTCACAGAGCAATAAACGAATAGCAAAGGTGTCATTCGATGCAGCTTTCTACTCTTTTCTACTCTTCTTTTTCCCTGATTTGTATAATATTTGAGGATAAAATCACTGTAATTTTTGTTTTCAGACGAGTTTCAGGCTGTACTTAGAAAATTCGTAATTTAATATCTCGAACAACTAAGCGCTCATTTGCTTGCTAAGGCTAGTGCTCGAACATCAAACCTTGCCACCATTAAGACCCTAAGAGGGCTGTTCAACGAATATCATCTTGCCTACACTGTGCTGTTTGGCTGGGCAATGTTCAACATTATGTTCATCTAATACTTGGCACAATTGTCGCACATCTGTTGAAGAAGGCAATCCACCACTTTTTTTACGACATTCGTTTGTGTCCGAAGTCCCAACTTATTTTCCGTTGTAAATATAAGGGTGCTTTTTTTCTCCTTGATCCTTCAAGTAATCTCAGGATCTTTTCAGTTCAGCAGTCTTGCGAAATGCAATTTTCAAAGCTTGGGCTCAGAAATTAATTGATCAAAGCAAGCTCTACGAGATATATTAGGTCGTTCCGAAAGTTCTTTCCGTTTTTTCAACCTATCATAAGAACACGCGGAATAAAGGTAGGGAAACGCTTTGGGCAGGCTATACGACGCAGCTTTTCTTCCTCTTTCTAGCAGTCGTACTCAAATGTCGATTGCTCTTATGATCACTGAGATAACGGCCGAAATTTCGAACCCATGGTTTTTACCATGTCCAAATTTGGCAATTTTTCACAATCTTCATTTTTAACTTTCGAAGAAGCTTTTATAGCATTCAAATAGAGTAAACAAAGTGCAATGCAGTGCAATTTTTTGGCATATCCAGCTGGCTTTTCAGTATTTTTTGAGATAATTTTTCCAAAAGTCTTCAATTTTGCAAAGTCCCATAATACAGAAACGCCCCGAACAGTGGCGAATCTGCGGATTTTGAAGCTTTCAAATGTCAGTTACGATTATCCACAATTTTTAAAAACCAGCTGAGCATTTACCGCTTGAAAATATATGGTTTTGCATTTTACGTTTACGGGCTGGGGCGGGTTCAAAATCAAGAATTATAAAAACTCTATCGCCAAAGACCTTACAAATTGGAAAGAAAATACATTCATTAGAAAGAGAAGGAAAATCTGCATCGAATGACGCCTTAGCTGTGCGCCGTCTTATGTTCTATGGCTCTTGGCATCCCCAAAAGTGGAATTTTATAGCATCAGAAAAATAATTCTAAAAAATTTCTAAGGCTAGCTGCAGATGTTGAAAAATTGCATTAGATTGCACTTTGCTTACTCTCTCAGAATATTATCAAAGCTTTCCCAAAAGTCAAAAAAGAAGATTAAGAAAAATTGCCAAATTTGGACATGGTAAAAACCATGGATTCGAAATTTCGGCCGTTATCTCACTAATTATAAGAGCAAGCCGCAAAGAAATACGATAGTCAAAAAGAGGAAGAAAAGCTGCGTCGGACAGTGCCCAAAGCGTTTCCCTACCTTCATTCCGCGTGTTTTTATGATAGGTTGAAAAAACGGAAAGAACTTTCGGAACGACCTAATATTTCAAATGCCTGCGGAACGTTCAATCCCTTTACAGTTGGGAGAGCCAAAATCTGAAAATTTTGACTACCTTGAAACACATACATCCAAAAATATCCTAAAGGTTTCTTTGTTTACGCTATAATCTCCATAACAGATGTTTACGGCTATCGCGAAAGTTCTTGCGTAATTTAAAGCACTTATTTGGGGCCAGCTAGTAACACTATAGCATTATTTATCACCGAACTTGAAATCATAAATTTTATGTGACACTTAGAAACTTGTCTCCCTATGGCCAACAAATGATTATGTAGACATTTCAGAAAGAAATCAATCATAGTCATAACTTATAATAACCGGCTAAGGATGTTTATGTCTTTTTGCTGTGTGTGTCTGTCTGTCCGTTACGAAGTGTTTTAGTCAACGTCCTGAGCCCAGATTTTGGACGGCGTATGTTACCAGCATGAAAGTCCACTATGCAAAAGCAAGAGTGGATCCGCTGAGTGGATCTCTCAAAAATTGCGAGCTAGAATCATTTGGTTTTAGCCAAATGAACCTGTTTAACGGGTTCAACTGGGCCTTTACAACAACTTTTTGCGAAGTCGTGGATATGTTTGACAAGCTAATGTGGAAGCCATGAATTTTAGCCAAGAAAACTGAGCTGAAATTGACTACTTTACGAAAATAGCGCCAAAAAGAATCAGTTGCGTTGTTCAATTTGCCAAGATTTTACATGATCGTTTGTGGAGATTTTTGCACAGCGATGTAGCCCACGGTGCTTATTGTCCTTATGGCGACTATCAAGCTATAAGAAGTCCAAAAACCGATTCAATGTGCATTTATTTCTCTGGGAAAAGTTTCATCCACGCGAAAATACTGATCATATACAAAGCTCTAAGGCAGGCGCTATACTCCTCGAGGAGTATAGCATGGCGACGGGCGATCGCCAGTCGCTACGACGGACGATCGCCAGTCGCCAATACTGGCGACTGTGTCTTCTATGCGTATGTCTTCTACATTTGATGTGTAGTCGCCTGGCGACTGGCGATCGTCAGTCGCTACGACTGGCGATCGCCATATCGGCGACAAAAATCGCCAGTTTTGCACGTATTTGATGCATATCGATCGTCGCCATGCTATACTCCTTGAGGAGTATAGCGCCTGCCTAAGAATGAGTGATTGTTTACAAACCATTCGTGATACCTGCATAGCGCGGTGAGTTTCAATATCATTATTACGCTGGAATGAGTAAGACATACAGAAAGTAGGGCCAGTGCAAGCCTCTGCCAAGCAGAGATGACGCACTGGTGTTTGAATAATGACCATGAATGTAAGTTCAGAATTTGTAAAATACGCACCTTTCGCACCAACTCAATATGATCAGTTGTTATATCTTTGCATGGCTAGAAAATAGGGATTAGATAGCTTAGATTTAGATAGGTTATTTGATAGGATATTAGATGGGGTTAAATATCATTCATTTGAATTTTTCCCATCTCCGATAGCGACTTTTAATCTCTAATTCGTGCCATCTTTGCGGTGTCATGATCAGGCCTTTCGTACACTTACATTAACAGTAAAATTTCCCAAACTTCCTTATTTATCCTATCATCAACCAAAGGCGGCGAAATCTGTGCACTGCCCTGAACTTAAGCGAAATCAAACAAATATTATCATCATCGCAAGACTTCCATACGAATTTAGTTGGTGGATGTCCATAGTGGCCGAGGACTAAGTGCGCAAGACAATTTTCAGTGAACTCTTAAAAAGAATGTATTTGGTCAAGGTGGCCGTATGGGAAGCGACCAAAAACAAGTCGCGGAATTTTTGAAAGTTTTTTACATCTTATATTAGATCGTTCCGAAAGTAATGTCGCTTTTTTCGAATGAACGCCACTATCCGTGAAATCAACATTTTCAGGAGATCTTAGGAGAATTCGATGCAGCATTTCATCCTATTTCTAATGGTTCTAATTTCACTGCATAATGTTCAATGAGCTTTCGAAAAATTTTCAACATCTGCGACTCATGCTTTTTGCCATTTTCAAGTTCGGCTATTTTCCTGAATTTTTGTACTTATTCTCCGAAGAAGTACAAGTGACTGGTAGATAGAGCAAACCCTACAGGACACAAGACAATTTTTTCTTTTCCTTAGCTTGCTTCTCAGAGTTTCTA